TTTCTGGGCTCAAAGATCACCTCAGATGGGGACTGCAGCCAAGAAATTAAAAGACGCTTGCTCCTGGGGAGGAAAGCTATGGCAAATCTAGACAGCATTCTAAAAAGCAGAGACATCACCCTGCCAACAAAAGTGCGTATAGTCCAGGCCATGGTTTTCCCAGTTGCAATGTATGGCTGTGAAAGTTGGACCATAAGAAAGGCTGAGCGCCAAAGAATTGAGGCCTTTGAACTATGGTGCTGGAGAAGACTCCTGCGAGTCCCTTGGACTGCAAGGCGTTCAAACCGGTCAGTCCTAGAAGAGATCAACCCCGACTGCTCTTTAGAAGGCCAGATCCTGAAGTTGAAACTCAAGTACTTTGGCCACCTAATGAGAAGGAAGGATTCACTGGAGAAGAGCCTAACGCTGGGAAAGATTGAGGGCAATAGAAGAAGGGGACCACAGAGAATGAGATGGCTGGATGGAGTCACTGAAGCAGTAGGTGTGAATTTAAATGAACTCCAGAAGATGGTAGAGGACAGGAAGACCTGGAGGAACGTTGTCCATGGGGTCGCGATGGGTCGGACACGACTTCGCAATTAACAACAACAAGAAGAACATGACCAGGCTGAGCCCCAGGGAAAGGGTCAAACACATCATAAGTCATGAGTGCCTGCATACCCGCAAGAGACTTAAGTCCAGTCCACTTTGGATGCCTTTCTTATCTCCCGCTCTTTTCCCTGGACTGTTAGTTGGTCAGATTCTTATAGAGAGCTGAAGCTTGCAATAAATCTTTATACTCATTTGAACTGCCTGAATCTCTTGATTTCCCTGGTGCTTCACAGTGAATATTCTTCCGTGGCAAATAACCAACTCTCTCATAGTAGAGAATCTTTGTAGCTCAGGGTTGAACTGTGGGGTCCCTGGTGCTCTCTGAGCTTGGTTGTTTTCTTGCAGATGTTTCATTACCCAACTAGGTAACCTCATCAGTGCTAGAAGGGGGTTTGCTCTCTGTTTATAATACAAATGGCTTTCTCTATCAATGTTGGTGGGAGTATTCTTGGTGGTTCAGTGATCCGGCTGTTGTTTGCAGTTAGCCTGTTTGTCTGAGTTGCTAGTTCCTTGATTCACTCCCTTATTTGTGAAATATAATGGCCAGTGACAAATTTTAACCATAAATTGTGGCCCTTGTGGGCTATTATTTACCATTAAATCAGTAAACAGAGATAATTAGGCTTGACGTTTTAAAAAAGTAAGGAGGGGATAGATGCATGCCAATTTCTTTTTGGCTTTGTGTGAGTGTGTTTTTTTAATCACTTGAGTTTGGAGAGTAGGTTGACCTTCTTTGTCGTAGCCCTTCAAATATTGGAAGACTGCTACCATGTCACCCTTCGTCCTTCTAGACTAGACATACCCAATTCCTGCAACTGTTCTTCATATGATTTAGCCTCCAGTTCCCTAATGATGTTTGTGGGACTTCTCTGCATTCTTTCTAGAGTCTCAACATCCTTTTTATATCATGGTGGCCAAAACTGGATGCAATATTCCAAGGGTGGCTGTCAACGCTGCTAACATCGGATGTTCTTGCTTTGACAACATATGGAGATGCATCCATTTTCCTTTACTTTAAATTTTACTCTTAGAATTAGAATTAAATGATACTGGGGGGGGGGGGAGAGGAAGAATGTGCATGGGAGATTAGTTAGACAAAACAATACTGTATAATGGTGAGAACCAAGGCTGTTTGTAAGAGATGATAAGACATGGCGGGATAAAGAACTGGGTGGAAAGCCAGCATTTCAAACTAATTGGAGAATGTGATTTATGACTGTTAGTTGTAGGAGGGAATTGTGCTTTGATACTATGTGCTGAGGGGAGGGGAAGCCAGATTTTGGCTTCGACTGTGTACGTGCTGATGTGTTGCTGCTCGAATAAAGATTCTTTAAGGTAAACAATGCCTCGAAGTTCTTTGAAGAGTTTCATATGTCGGAACCATCACAGTGGCATTATAAAGAACTTCCATTGCTAAGCAAGGTGCTTGTTAAGTGAGTCACACCCAATTTTACAACCTTTTTTGCCACTGTTGTTAAGCAAATCTTTGCAATTGTTAAATAAATCATGCCGTTGCTAGGCAAATCCAGCTTCTCCTACTGATTGCTTGTCAGAAACCAGCTGGAAGGTTGCAAATCATGTGATCATGTGACCCCAGGATGCTGCAACCATCATAAATACATAAATAACGCCAAAACTACATAATGAGAGGTAAGTAACAGCAAAGCATGAGAAGGAACAGTTGTTCATTTCAATAAGGTGGATCCAGCTAGAGTGCTCCCAAATTCAGTCCCATGCAAATAAAAGAAGAACAACACAGGTCTTGCTTTCAACCCATCTCCATGTCTTTCCCTTCTCACCCACTCATAGAAAGCAACAGGAATGTATGAACAGCCATAAAAATTCCATTCAGCAGAACCTGAATAATTCCCGGATAGCAATAGCAAAATAGCAATAGCACTTAGGCTTATATACCTCTTCACAGTGCTTCACAACCCTCTCTAAGCAGTTTGACAGAGTCAGCCTATTTCCCCCAACAATCTGGGTTCTCATTTCACTGACCTTGGAAGGATGGAAGGCTGAGTCAACCTTGAACTGGTCAGGATCGAACTGCAGGCAGTGGTCAAAGTTACCCTGCAATACTGCATTCTAACCAATATGCCACCATGGATAAGCTTCGCAACTTCAGAAAAACCACAGGACATAAGATACAAGGGTGAGTGGAAGAGAAACTCAACAATTTGACCCAAAGACCCTGTTTAGGATAGTACTCTACAAATGTCATAGGACATGACTGAGCAAGTTCTCCACGGAACGCCCCAAAATGTTTCCATTCAAGCACATCACAAGAGGCTGAAGGTCTTATTCCTTATAACTTGCAGATGTGATTTGTCAACAGGCACCACTAGGTAACCTTTTATTTTGGACTTGATCAAGAGGCTTATCCACCCAAGAATCCAGTGTCCCCAATTACCAAGCATTGGCCTTGCTGTGTCACCCAATCTGCATGTACCTTTATCTCTTATATTGTACATAGCTGCCAGTGTTGTGATGTATATTCTGGCGGTGGCCCTGTTTCATTAAGCTAATTAGCCAGGCATTTTCATAATGTCAATTAAAGGACTTTTGGGTTAAGCGCTTTGTTTAAGTGGTTAATCACATGGAAAACCTTCTTCCCATTAGCATCAAGTTCAACCCGTGACCTGCTGGCTAAGGAGATTGACGCCAACGATACTCACCTTGTTGTAACATCTCTTTTCCCTTGGGTCAAGAACGGCAGATCTCTCCAGATCATTTGTACGCAAATTAAAACCTACCACTCTGAGTACCAAGGGTGTTTTTTTCTTGTTTCAAAAGGCCACTGGACTTTCTTGGGTTTTCCTTGAAGATGATTTGCTTCCCACCCAAGAAGCTTCTGGCTAAAGAAACTTCTTGGATGAGAAGCGAAATGTCTTCAAGCGTTGCTCATGGAAAGCCTGCAGGAAAAAAGTCAGCGTGGAACATGGCAGGAAAGGTCACAAGTTGCTTGGATATGTCTTCCTCAACCACGCACTCTCTGCCAGTCCCTCTGAGTCTGGCCACTCAGGGCCACTTGCTCTCTCTCCCACATAGCAGCAGTCACTGACCTAATTGCTGGGAATGGAATGGAATAGAATGGAATGGAATGGAGCACTGTGGAGGGAGGGAGGGGGGAGGGAGGGAGGAAGGAAGGAAATAGGAGAGAGTGATTGTAGTGTAATGCCTTGATGACTTAGGGGGATGATGGGAAGAGATGCTGCCTAGAAAACAATCAGACAAGAGAGGCAGGAATGCCTAGTGCAGTGGTGGCAAACCTATGGCACGGGTGCCAGAGGTGGCACTCAGAGCCCTCTCTGTGGGCACACATGCCGTTGCCTCAGTCCTAAGCCTTCAGCTGGGTTTTATAAAACCTTTTTGCTTTAGGCCTCTGCTGCCATGTGCAAAAAAAAAAAAAAGGTTCAATCAATCAATCAATTTCAACTTCTCGCGGGAAAAAAAAAGATCTTGCAAAGTTGGAATTGATTGATTGAACTTTTTAGTCCCACCCAGTCTGCCATTACCACCACAGCCACGTCCGTCCACCCAACGGGCCAACCCCCCCCCCCAATTGGCCACACCCAGCCAATGGGCCACACACCTCAGCACCCAACGATGCATAAGTAGGCTTTGGGTTGCAGTTTGGGCACTCAGTCTCTAAAAGGTTCGCCATCACTGGCCTAGTGGCTTAATGGTCAATTTAGGAAGGACTAGCTATAATTGGTTGAGCAGTTAAAAGTGGTGAGGGAGATTATTTCTTGTTAAACACATGAACCCAGACATTATACTGTTTGCTAAATATTGAGAATGTTATTTGGAAAAACCTTAAACCCCACACCAACCCTAATCCTAAACCTAACCCAAATCCCCACCCCAATCCCAGTCCTGCCTCATTCCTAACCCTATAAAAACTAATACAATATATAAATAATAATAAAAGTGGTGAGGGAAAGTTTGTACTTCAGACTTGCAATATTCTGTTAATGTACTCTTAGTCAAAGGAACTCCTCTAGTCATGTTTCCTCTCTGGTTTACCTGGGAGGGAAGAAGGGAGGAGGAGAGGAGGAACAAAGTCATTGGGGAAGCCAGCAGGAAGTTGCTCCTGCTTCCAATGCTATTTTGCCTGCCTATTTTGCCTTTCTCTGTTTAAGTAAAGAAGCAATGACCCAATGGTTCACAAGTTGTCTAATGAACGAATTATACATTGTTTGGACATATCATAAATAGTATCATTATGACATTCATGAAATGTAGGCAAAAGGCAGCATTAGTTCACTCTAAATATTAAACAGTAAATCCGGAATATTGTGTGTCGGTGTCTGTGCCGTCTCTGCTAGTTAAACAAAAGGCAGAGAGAGCCTATAATGAAACATGGAGCATCACATATGAAAACAAAAACAAAAGAGCCTTTTTACCTTCTGTGTGTACTGCAGACACGTAAGTCCAGTTGTACCTCTTGACAATGTCCACCATCGCACGGGCCTGTTGTGCGTCCGAAGGTACCACTCGCATGAAATACTTGTACAAAGTCTTGTCGCTTAAGTCCATGCTTGTGGCGGAGTAGGCGATCTGAGGTATGTTGAAAAGCTGCAACAGATTTTGGACCTGGATTGCCACGGAACTGGACCCGGGACCAATCACACCAACAATGGGCTTCTTCGAGTGGTACTGAGATGTAGAGCCATCGACACACTTCATCAGCCCTTCCTCTTCTTCTGCCGAGATGAGAGAGTCGCGGATGAACTCGATACTCTGCTCGAGAGCAACGGCTGAATGCCAGCATGAGTCCCGTATTTCACAACCTAAGGTTATGTTGGGTAACAGAGTTTGGTTCTGATTAATACGATCAAGGGTGTGAAGCATTGCTTCGACTCTCTGGATCCCATATTGTTCTCTTACCTCTCCGCATTTTCTCTCGTGGACCTTGTCAACCGTTGGCTGATGATGGACCGAGAAGAGAGCCCCAATGACAATATCTCCAGGCATGTAGGCCACCACCCGTCTTTCACTGGACTGAGCAGAAACCAAAGCATTAAAGTTCCCACAAACATTTTCCTTCAAGAACCAGATAACAAGCAGAAAGAGCATTTTAGGGAGCGGTTTAAGCCAGAATTGGAAGCATGATGAGATGACAAAGGCCGACCATTCTTAAAAAAAAACAAAAAAACAGCAATCAGCGAGTCTTTGGAGGAATTGAAGCAATCAAGCTGAGAAGCCACTGAGTGTTTCCAAGCATCTTCTACACAATGGCCAACATCTTCTCATCTGTTCAGAAGGTAGGATGCAATCATCATCTTCGAAATCTTTAAGAAAAAGATGATGGGAAGGTTTTTTAAAAAATAAATGAACATTTATAAACTTTAAATACCTCCACAGCTATTGTAAACAGAACACCAGCTCATTTTGATGCTTATTAGAATTCTGTAATCAAAGCAATAGCAATAGTACTTAGACTTACATACTGCTTCATAATGCTTTAGAGAACTCTCTTGGGTGGTTTATAATGTCAGCATATTTGCCCCCAACAATCTGGGTCCTCATTTTTCCAACCTTGGAAGGATGGAAAGCTGAGTCAACCTTGAGTCCCATCAGGATCAAACTCCAGGCTATGGGCAAAGTTTGCCTGCAATACTGCGTTCTAACCACTGAGCCACAAGGGCTCTTACAAGGCAAGAAGCAAACCTCATACATTCAAAATAAAACAAACAAGTTAGTTCCAAACCCATGATTGATTGATTTTCAGGCCTGGAAATGAACTGAACTCAACAATCCTTTTGCACAGAATTCTATTCCTGATTCCTTCAACTCTGCCTTATTCTGGCAGCCATATTTACCGAATTTCATTTATTTTGCAGTTTTTGTAACCCACCATAATCCACAGATTCTGGGCAGCGTGTAACTGAGGGCCATCTCTGTTGCAATATCTGCCCTATAGAACAATCTCCCTCTTGAGATTTGGAAGGTCCTGATTTTCGTGACCTCTCGACCCACTTGGCCAGGGGTAGGCAACCTTGGCTCTTTTATGACTCGTGGACCTCAACTCCCAGAATTCCTCAGCCAGCCATAAAAGAGCCAAGGTTGCCTACCCCTGCACTTGGCAAACTGTTAATATCTGGGTTTGTTTGTTTTTTGTTTAAATACCTAGATATAGTTAGTCAGATTGTTAGCGTAGCCCAGTATACATGTGGCTGCAATTGTGAAATTGTTAAATAACTCATTTTTTCTTCTTTGAATTATCTTAATTTTGATGATGGGGGCTTATATTGTTTTTGTACTGAGGGTTCAAAACCCAGACATGTCAGGCTTCTCAATCAAGATATGAACAACCAAGCTCAAATTACTCTACTTTAGACACATTATGCAAACACCCAATTCTCTGGAGAAGGCTATGATGTTGGGAAAGGTGAAAGAAAAGACAGGTGGACACAGTTACATTGGCAAGGAGCGCACCATTGGTAGACCTGACGGACCAGGTTAGAACAGAATGTCATGGAGAAATTCCTAACATTCCTCAACGGAGGGGGAGGGATACGACAACACCTAACTCTGGTTTGCAATGCAATACAATCCTTCCGCCACCCCCACCCCCCACCATCCTATCAGAACACATTCTCTGTTGTTTTGTAAATACACTGAGTGCTTCTGTACCAGAAAGAAATTCCTTGTGTGGCTAACCACACATGGCCAAATAAAGCCCCTTCTCTTCTCTTCTCTTCTCTTCTCTTCTCTTCTCTTCTCTTCTCTTCTCTTCTCTTCTCTTCTCTTCTCTTCTCTTCTCTTCTCTTCTCTTCCCTTCCCTTCCCTTCCCTTCCCTTCCATTCTATAGAACTATAAAATTATAGAATTCTATAGAACTCTATTCCATTCGATTCGATTCCATTCCATTCCATTCCTGCAACACGTGAACACTTTAGATAATATAAGAAGTGAGTTGTGGATTAATAAAGTCTCTTCAAGGGCCATATTAGAAAAAAAAAATTACAAAGTTAAAGTAATGAGATTTCAAAAGCAGGAACCACAATCTGATCAAACCCGGTTGAATTTTATGATTTGCCTTATGAGGAATAAATTATAATCTGGTTTATTTCTTATGTAAGATAAATACACGTATAATACCTTTTTATTTTCACGGTAGTAATTTTTTTCTTTTTATGTTTTTTATATTTCTTTTTTTTCTGGAATTACCTTGTAATTATGTTAATGCACCTACCTCTTATTGTACTAAGAAGAACAAATAAATAAACTGCTTCTCTTTTTTTAAGAAAATAATCAAACTATAGGAGTGCTGCTGTGAAAAACCAGCAATCTTTATTACTATAATGCTAGTCTACAGACCAATATACCAATAGTGTTGTCACAGAATCTTTGCAGGGATCTTTCTAAGTTCCCAATAGATCTTTGAGATCTTTGATGGCCAGTTGGATCTAGTGTTTAAGGCACAAGGCTAGAAACCAGGAGACTGTCAGTTCTAGCCCTACCATAGCCATAAAAGCCAACTGGGTGACTTTGGGTCAGTCACTCTGTCTTAGTCCAGCCCACCTCACAGGACTGTTGTTGTGGGGAAAATAGGAGGAGGAAGCTGTCAACGCTGCTAACATTGGATGTTCTTGCTTCAACAAGATGCAGTCTTTTTCTTATACTTTACTCTTAGAATTAGATGATACTGGGGGAGGGGGAGGAATGTGATGGGAGTTAGTTAGACATGCAAAATTGTAACAAGAGCTGATAAGCCATGGTGGGAGAAACAACTGGGCAGAAAGCCAGCATTTCAAACTAATTAGAGAATGTGATTTATGACTGTTAATTTTAGGAGGGAATTGTGCTTTGATCTATGTGCTGAAGGGAGGGGAAGTTAGATTTTGGCTTCAACCATGTATGTGCCGAAGCTATGCTGCTTGAGTAAAGATTCTTTAAGGTAAACAATGCCTCAAAGTTCTTTGAAGAGTTTCATACATAAACTCCTAAACAGAACCGATCCTGGGCTGCATTTGTTGAGAAAGGTATAGTTTTATTAGAAGTCAAGCATATTGCAGTCAGAACTGAGAATTGCATCTCAAAATCCCTAAGTTCAACTCCCCCCACATTAGCCACCTCCCATTACCCAGCCCCTGAGCAACCAATAAGGTTCAGGCAAGATGTTTTCATAAGAGAGTCCAAGCACAGTTTGGTATGCAGCTGGTATGCTGGGTGACCTTGAAGCAGCATCTCTAGGAGATAGAGATCTTGCTTCCGTTTTCCCCCAAGCCTTCTCCATTACATTTTTCCCCCTCCCAGGCATAAGGTGGCAGCTGACAGCTATTCTTATGGAACTTCAAGCAAGGCTGTAGCAACTACAAAAAATTCAGGGTGGATATTGGTGCAAGAGGCATTCTTTTTTTTTTAACTTCCTCATTTTGGCCTCTCTCACAATATATGCTTGTAGCAAAGAGTACTGAAAAAGCCCAGACTTTATTGCTCTCATAGCGCTGTGATTATGGACTTGCAAGGAAGTGCCTAGCGTAAAACTCTTTGGTGGGTGGTTGACTTTTGGGTGGCTTTGTTGTTAAATTTGAGCTCTGCAACAAAGCTCTGTCATTTGGGTGAGCCAAGCTCGGTTTAATTACAGCACAATCTGTTTCCTTCTATTGCAGCTCTTAACTGCTTATTGTATCCCTCCAAAGGCAATTCAATATCCTTTACAAATGCCGATGCATTTAAAGTACCTTCCTTAAATTAATAGGCTTCAGTGGAATCTTATAACTGAGTAGAATTCTCCCTTCCTGCACATTTTTTTTCAAAGGGAAGCTTCCTATTCTTTTTAATTTTATTCCCAGATGAAAATATCTTCTTGTGCTATGTCCGTTATCGGACATTGGGGATCATGTTGGCGATCCTGTTTTTATCAGCAGCCGCACAAAAAAGTGCTGCTGAGTTTTGTCCAAACCAGTCCCTTAGATTTTGAAGCCACAATGTTCTTCTTCTGCCTGGACCTCGTTTGCCTTCAATCTTTCCCTGGAGGATTAAATGGAGTATGCCGTATTTTTCTGGGTGTCGCATCACATGTCCGAAATATTCTAACTTTCGTTTTTTAATTGTTTTGATGATTTCCCTTGGCTTTCCCAGGCGGCTTATCACCTCCTCATGTCTGATCTTGTCAACCCAGCTTATACGTAACAGCCGCCTGTAAATCCACCTTTCAAATGCTTCTAGTCTCTTCAGGTGGCCTTCTGTCAGAGACTAACTCTCTACTCCATAGAGCAGGATAGAAAAAATATGGCATCTGACAAGCCTGATTTTCAATGAATGAAAATATCATTACAATCCTTATTTGGGAAAGCAGGTCTCCCTCTGTGGGCTTAAAGGTAGTCCTCTATTTATAACAGTTTGTTTAGTGACCATTCAAAGTTACAACGGCACTGAAAAAAAAAGCTACTTATAACCATTTTTCACAATTATGACTGTTGTAATATCCCCAATGGACATGTGATTAACATTTGGATGCTTGACAACTGGTTCATATTTATGACTGTTTCAGTCCCCCTTAATTATGTGATCCCCTTTTGCGACCTTCTGACAAGAAAACTCAATGGGGAAGCCAGATTCACTTAACAACTGTGTTACTAACTTAACAATTCCCTTAACAAATGTGGCAAGGAAAGTTGTAAAACGGGGCAAAACTCACTTAACAAATTTCTCACTTAGCAACATAGATTTTGGGCTCAATTGTGGACGTACATTGAGGACTACCTGTATTTTAAGTCACTAAGGATGGTCAGTGGAGCTGATCCCAAGGAGGAAACCATTGTTAATGCATTTTGGACCAGCTCCATGCAAGCAAAATACAAGGAAAACTGAGGGCACTTCATGGTTAATATAAAACTGCAGCACAATGTGATAGGAAACGAGAAATGATTTAAGCTTTGGGAGATTGAAAAAATAATGTAATAAATTTATGAGAAGTAGTTAAACTAAAGTTTTGGACTGCAGTTGAAATTATTTGAAATTATTGGCTCCTATAGCTAGGTCTTTAAGAATTTAAAATTCAATATTCCTGCCAGTTATCTATCCAAGCTGTCAGATCTTTTCCATAGTATGAGTTCAACGACCTCTTTTTCCAGAAAGTACTATTCTTATCCATCCACAGATAGAAAGATGAATGGTAGGAAGGAAGGGAGGGAGGGAGGGAGGGAGGGAGGAAGGGAGGGAGGGAGGGAAGAAGGAAGGAAGGAAGGAAGGAAGGAAGGAGGGAGGGAGGGAGGGAGGGAAGAAGGAAGAAAGGAAGGGAGGGAGGGTGGGAAAAAGGAAGGAAGGAAGGAGGGAGGGA